TGTGTGAGGTTAGGTAAATAAGCAGAGCTTAAAAAGGAACCACAGGCAGCCACAGTCATTCCACCGGCTGACTCTGAATGACTGAATGCTCATTATGGACTTAAATAGATGGCAGCTCGTGTCTTTGTGTGTGTGTGCGCGCGTGTGTGTCTGTGTGTGTGTGTGCGACTGTGGATGAGTAGATGTGAGCCGCAGCAGTCACATTTGCACTGTCAAGGAGACAAAACAAATTAATCTTTAAAGATTTTAACCATAGTTTGGATAAACCGTTTCATTTCAACACTATCAGAGGAATTCCAGCCTGACAGCGTTTATCTGACATCATCTGACAGGATGTACAACTTTGTTTTTGCAGCTGAACACTCAAAAATCCTTCCTGAAAGAAGTCATTTTCTGCTTTTGATTAGAATCGTATTAGAGAGGTGTTTAGGAGGATGCAGTTTGTGTCGTGTCATTTAATTAGCCCACCTTAATTCATATAAATGAGAAGAACAACATCAGTCTGTCAGGGGTTAACCAAAGCTAACCAAAGGCCAACACGGGAATTTATCTTATCCAGGTAACATCGGCGTTATCGCTGGGGTCAAAGATACCTCACACAGCTGCAGACAAAGCAGCTGATTATCCTGATCGCCAGTGTTAGAGTGCGAGAACCCAGATAACAGGAGGATACCCGGGGTATGCTGAATTCATATTACAGGGCCCAGCTGCCCATGTATGCAGTTGCAAGAGACCCACCACTCTTTTTAAAACTTATGAGTGTTAAACTAGTTCAGTGAATATTCTCTTTTTTAAACAAAAGCCTATTTTTCAAGATTTAAAGGTCTGTAATAGTGAGTGTTTTAAAAAATAGTTTTAAATGATTCCTTTAACTCGCACAGACACTAGGAGTAAAGAAAAAGATCAATCAATATTAGCCTTGACTGTTTTTCCTCTGAAAATGATCCCCTCTGTATATTTGCCTGTCTGACTCCATGATGTTGGGGATCAGAGCTCTGTGGGGATCGTATCGTCTCCTGCAGAACTCATATAGTCCTCATGCCTCTTGATGTATTTCTTGGTCTGTTGTTATGCTGCAGAATGATTTTGGAGCCAATCTGATATCTTCCTGGTGAGGTGTAAGCACTGCCCTGTATGTCTTAAAATATAAAAACCTAGCCTGCGTATTGTGCCATGCGTTTGTGTGTTTAGACACTCTCTGAAGATGCGATTCTGTCAGATCTGAGACCTCAGCGTTGGTACCAGTTTAGAGTGGCAGCCATCAACAGCCACGGCAGCAGAGGTTTCACCACACCCAGCAAACACTACATCTCCAGTAAAGGTAAGCACACATACTTCGTTTTTTATGAGCGTCTCAAAGTGAGTGATGATGCCTCTGCATGTTGCCATAAGCTAGCGGTGAATTTTGATATTCTGTCATGAGACACTGAGCAAAACACAGATCCTTGCACTCATTTTTTGTCATTTTATGAGAGATATTACACATCCCGCAGGAGGAGTCAGAAAGTCAGGATGTTTTCCCTTCCTCTCCCTTTCTGTGCTCTTTCTGTCGTTCATGCAGAGTTGATGGATAAGGTAAAAAACTGTCAGGCAGTCTATAAAACACAAGCAGGAAACTGAAATGTACACAAGTGTGCACACATGCACGCATTTACACAAAGCGTAAGGACTCGCTCCGTTGGTTTGATGCCAGAGTGAAGTCCCTGATGTAGGTCTGAGAGACTGGGTGAAAGTGAGAGTAAGACAAGCGCACACACACACACGAACGCACACACTGTAGGAGGTATTAGCTGTAATGCTTAGCAGACTTAGGTCATACTGGTATTTTGCCAGGATTGGCTAGTGATATGAATTCACTGCCAGGATTGGCTAGAGCATGTTTGAATGTGAATAATGACTTCAGGTTGGACGGAGCTGTGGAAAAAGGTTCTTTATCAGTTGAACACTTAAGGGAGATTATGAAGAGCAGTGTGAGATAGCATTTTCCACCTCTCCGACGAAATTTTTATAAACATTTCAACCTGTGCCGTGGCAAGCAGAGTGCAGGGTTTGTAAGCGGGGTTGTAGCTGGGCTTTACAGAAGATATTTGCAGGTAGAACTGTGATAAAAGGCAAGTTCACGTATCGCTTTGTGGACACGACGAGCGAATCGCTGAGCGTGTGCAATAAATGCGAGAGAATGTGGATTTCATCAAATGCGGACGGGTCGATAATAAGATGCCCAATAATGTTAAATTAAAAACGATTTTATTTCCTGCACTCTGCTCAAATTGTCCGCACTCTGAAACCGAAAAGGAGAGAAAACTTTCCAACAGGATATTGGATCGAGCGGTGCTGAGATTTGTGAGGTCGGCCCCTCTACGACCCAGAATACCCTCTTTGCAAAGGTGTTGCAGAAGCTTAACACCAGCTGAACTCTGCTGCTGGCAGCCAGCTAAACAGGCTTAGCGTACTGCTTAGTGTTTTATGAGGGCGTTATATTTGGGACTATTTGCTGGGAAGAGTAGCTTCCTGAATTCTCTGTAGATGGCTTACTTTTGTATGAAATGACCTTCAGAGGTGCTAATTGTTTTTATTTTTTGGTAAATCAGACAGAACCAGGTTGGCTTTTCAAGCTAGATTTATGCTCTGCTAAGTTAACTGGCTTTAAGAAGTTACTCCTCTAAGTCACCATCACATGGTGTAGTTTACAGACATGGTATTAATGCAAAGCAAACCTAACAGGCTGTTTCCTATAGAAAAAGTAATTAAATAAGGGTGATCAGTCTTCAAAATCCATATCTGTGCAAGCAAGAGGCAATAGCTCAGTGTCGAAATGTTGAGTTCTTCTTCTGTGACACGGTGTGTGTTTGTGAGTGTATTTTGAGAACCAGGGTTAAAGGTTAGAGCCACACTTGAACATTTCAAATACCATCAGATGGCAGCCAGAGTCTTGTTTCTACCTCATTAGTCTGATTAGTCAGAGGTTGGAGGTCAGGGGTCACAAATCCGGAAGCTGGCAGATGTTAAGAGGGTTGTGCTTTCTGCACGGTGACCTGACGCTAACCAGAGTGAAACTTGGAAACCGCTTTACATCTTGTTAAAATGTTGGTGTTACGTGGGACCTGCCAGTAGTAATCACGAAGGGATATTTGGATCAGAAAAGTAATCTTGATGTCTTCACTTTATGACATAAAACATTAGTTCATTGAGAGTGACGGGAAAAGCCCTCAGAGAAGAACATGTTTTGATTCTCATCTGGCAATTACTGCTGGCACTGAGATGTAACACAAAACACCACGTATGCATACGCACAAGCAGTCCTGGTCATGGAGTTTCCAGTGTTTTGCCCCAACTTTGATCTTTGCATTTAGGTCAGCCAAGCACAGCCTGGGGCTGTGGGAGGCCTGCCATGGGGGATGTAGTTCTAATCAGATGCATTTTGTAGTTTTAATCAAATACAGGATCAGGGATTTTGGGCTCTAATGAGATACAGAGTCACTGTTGAAAGACTCATACGGTTACCAGCAGTGATGGCCTTTGGTCTGTGTTGTGGCAGCTACTGAAAAGGACGTTAGGTTTCTCCAGTATCACCCACCTTTGATGCTTTAAATCTAATTGGCTCTGTAGACTTGAATCAAACCAAGAGGAAATGCGCTTTTAGCCCCGAGAAAAAGAAAGTCAAGCTGGTAAAAGGTCTTTGTTGCAAAGGACTCACTCCTCTCCTCTTCCCTTTTGTTGATATCAAAAGTTTGGCAGAATTTAAATTGCAAAAGTGTCAACTTTAGACACAAATTACACAAACAAATTAACAGGTTTTAACACCCAGCAACAAAAATTAAGCCTTTAGCTTGTACTGTGCTATTTTTCCTTTTTTTGCCAAAGAGAAAACACAATGTGCAATGTTACCTTTTTTAACATTAATTTGGTGTTAAATAAAAATCACAGTTTGTCTTTTTGGATGTTCCACTGTCCAAATTTGATGTCTGGAAACATAAAACTTCAAGGGCTGTGAGTGAAACGAAGCAAGAGATAATTGTGTGCAGTAGTTAAACTTTAACAGTTAATATAGAAAAATGAAAACAAATTTATAGATTCTGGGGTTTTAATCAGAAGAAAAAAAATTTAATTTTATGATTTTTTTTTAGACAATTAATAGTTGTAAAAAAGAAATACATGAACAAATATAGAATTTTTTTTAAGGTGTCCTATGGGAATCTTTAAATAAACTAATGTCTTTTTAATGTGAGCTAAAGGATTTTGGTTAAGAAAAAAAAGGTCCTTTGAGTAATCTGACATTATTTTATGTAATTCTACTTAAATAGTAACATGTTAAGTCAGTGACAGTGTTAACCAAGGTGTTGTGTCCATAGCAGTCTATTGTTGCTGAAGAACAGGCAGGCTTCAGCAAAACCCCTACAGAAAAAAACCCTATGAGCAGCACTTTGGCGACAGTGGGAAGGAAAAACTCCCTTTTAACAGGAAGAAACCTCCGGCAGAACCAGGCTCAGGGAGGGGCGGGGCCATCTGCTGTGATTGGCTGGGGGGACCACTAACATTGTTTGAGTCATCAAACGACTGGATGACAAGCCCACAGGCGCCGTTCTCATGAATGGAAACACAGGCAGCTGGTTTGGTCCTACAGCTGAACTCCCCCTGGATTGTCTGCTCTCACCCACCCTCTCTTACACACACCAGGAGAGAGCTGACAAGGTAGGCAGAGAAAGAGATGGGAGGACAACATCCAAGAGTGTACAGGCAGATTCCCAGAGAGCTGTGGAGGACAGAGAGAACTGGAGAAGGGTGATGGCCTTGTCTTCACTGGGACCCCAGTGACTTCAGCAGAGGTCAGGGGTCAAGTGAAGTGAAAGAAAAAAGAACTGCAACATTGCCTAACTATATGTTTTTCTTTCTGTGTCTCTATGCAGACCCTTCGCCCCCAGAACCACCCACGAATGTCAGAGTGAGCAACCAGACACTGAATAGGACACAATCAGCGTCCCAGTTCACAGAAAGGTATCTAAAAAGCTATGTCAGTGAAGGATTATCAGATGCATCATTTTATATATAATCTTTAAAATACATCTATTTACCACTGCAGCTGGGAAATCAGTCATAAACTGTGGTCAGCCCTATAAAACGCGTCTTCTGTTGTGTGATTGTGTATATGAGCTGAAATTACAGTTTGCCCTTGTTCAATTACATCCTTCGGTGTCTTCTCTATTTTTCATTCTGCAAAACAAGGTCATTTAAAGTTCAGACCATGGCTTGGATCAACAGCGATATTCCAATAACATTTAATAACAGAGGTGATGACTTAAATTGTAGCTTCTGTTCAGCATGATATAAAGTGTCTGAGCCTCGTCTATACATACAGGGAGTAAATAGAGATTAGATAGAGATTGTAAACCCGATGCTGAAAGCAGCTGACAAACAAGCAGAGAATCATTTTCACTGTTAGGGAAGCGCTGCACTTTTTGCTTCTTCCTTAATGGGACTGTTTACACTTACGCCGTAACGTTGCATAAATTTTGCCTCCTAAGGTCGATGGAGAGTGGCGTCACAGTGGCGGTCTTATTACGCTGGGAGCCCCCTAAGGAAGGAGACCTCCCGGTGCACAACTACCGAATCACCTGGATGTCTCGCCATACGCACGCAGCACAAAAACACAAACACACGCTGCAAGCGCACACGCATACAGTAGCCAGTAACACGCACGCACGACCTGCACAGTCACGCACACCAACACAGGGTAGGAAGGAGAGCAACAGCAGAGTGACTCAGGGGGTAAGTCAACTTTCTACAAGCTTAATTATACCAAATAAAAAATGTGGTCATTTATCTTGTTTCTTTGCTTAGAATATTTCAAGAACATAAACATATAGTAAGTGGACGTTGAGACGTTTCAGTTTCAATTTTCATGATGTTTCAAGATATATCTGTTTTCTTAAGGCTCTGAAAAAGGTGAAAAGAAAGTGCACTCTTTCAAATATAACGTTTCACGTTTCATAATAAGGTAAATCCAACCTCAGCAGTATGTAGGTACTTACTGTCTTAACAGAAACTGAGAGCACTCAGGTGCTGCTATTCAATTCAGTTCAACTCAGTTTTATTTTTATTTATACATTGGCAAATTACAACTGTAGGGTCTTTAATGTAAGGTAAAGACCCTACAGTTATGCAAAGAAAACAGAGAAAACGCCAACAATCAGATTAAATCGTGGCGATCTTGGCTTAAGAGTCGGTAGTTTATCTTGTAATCAGAAGGTTGCCGGTTCGATCCCCGGCTTCGACAGTCTTGGTTGTTGTGTCCTTGGGCAAGACACTTCACCCGTTGCCTACTGGTGGCGGTCAGAGGGCCCGGTGGCGCCAGTGTCCGGCAGCCTCGTCTCTGTCAGTGCGCCCCAGGGTGGCTGTGGCTACAATGTAGCTGCCATCACCAGTGTGTGGATGTGTGCGTGAATGGGTGGATGACCGAATATAGTGTAAAGTGCATTGGGGTCCATAGGGAATAAGTAAAGCACTATACAAATACAGGCCATTTACCATTTTAAACCCCTGTGAGCAAGATTTTTGGCAACAGTGGGAAGGAAAAACTCCCTTTTCACAGGAACTACAAACCCTACGTGTCAGACTATACACGTCTAAGTTGACATGTTAAATGTTAAAGTTCATGGCAATGCAATTAGAAAAAGACTGAACATGTGTAGCTTGTTTGGAAGCGCTATCAGGAAAAAGCCTGCAAGCTTAGGTTTGCAAAATTGCATCTGAACAAATCCCAAGACTTCAGGAACGATGCCGTTTGGACAGACAAGACAAAAATGGAAAAGTTTGTCTGCGATACATTGCACCATTTTTAGCAAAAACCAAACACAGCATGTGGGCACAAACGCCTCATACCAACTGTCAAGCAGGTTGGTGGAGGGGTGATGATTTAGGCTTGTTGTGCAGCCACAGGACTTGGGCCCCTCACAGTCATTAAGTTGACCATGAACTCCTCTGCACACAAAAATATTCTCAAGTCACATTTGCCTGACAGCTAAAACTTGGCCTAAAGTGGTACATGGAACAAGACAGTGACACCATATTGGCCACGATAGATTTGCTGAAAAAAAAAGAGTGGAGTGTTGCAATGGTTTAGTCAAAGTCTAGACCTTATTGAAGTTCTGTGACGGGACCTTAAGACAGTTATGCATAAACAAATGGCTGCATTTCATTCATCTGCAATAACAGATGGATGGGACTTTCTTTTCTGCAAAGTTGGCTTTGTAAGTAAGAAAATTGTAAAATCAGTTAATAAGATCCATATTCTATTTTCACTACCTCTAACTCCTATTTATTGTGTATCATGTGAGCAACCACCTTTCAGTACAGTGTCATTAACCAGTGGCAGCAGATGGCCCCGCCCCTCCCTGAGCCTGGTGCTGCCGGAGGTTTCTTCCTGCTAAAAGGGAGTTTTTCCTTCCCACTGTCGCCAAAGTGCTGCTCATAGAGGGTCATATGATTCCTGGGTTTTTCTCTGTATGTATTATTGTAGGATCTACCTTACAGTATAAAGCGCCTTGAGGCAACTGTTGTTGTGATTTGGCGCTATATAAATAAAATTGAATTGAATAGGAATAAGATGTAGGACATATATTATATATTTCCTGTGAAGTATAACAGCGCACAATAACACCACATACCCTGAATACACAAGCAGTGTAGCTGCACACGAGAGGTTTTATTATGCCTGTAAAGACACGCACCTTACACACACACACACACACACACACACAGGTTTTCATATATTTGTGGGGACATCTAATTGATATAATGCTTTGCCTAGCCCCTTGTCCAACCCAAAAGTGAATTCCTAACCCTAACCCTTACCCTAAACCTATCCATAACCTAATTGTAACCCTTTCACTAAAACCGCATTGTGAGTCTCTACCTCAGGTGAGGTAATGCACAAATTTCCCTGCCGTGGGATCAGTAAAGTCTTATCTTAGCTTAAAAATGCCTTCAAACTTGTGGGTACCGGGATTTTGTCCCCATAAGGACTGTTGGTCCCCACAAGTGTAGTAAACGTTGTTTATTTGGTCCCCACAATAATATGTAAACACGTAAACACACACACACGGTCCTCGTTGTGATTGCTATGGTGGTTTTACAGGCCTGTGCAGTAAAATCTTAAACACTTAAACTTAAACAGGATTTGATTCAGCTACTGTGCTGGAGTAGCAAACTTTGACAACTCATAAAAACCCATTAAGCGTGTATGATGTACTCCGCATGTCTGAGGTGTAGCGTTACAAACATTAACAGGACTTTGAATCATCCTTAAAATGACACAATGTGCATCTTAATTCAAGATGTGGATTCAAATAATGAGCCATTAAAAAAAACATGCTCTTCTTTATCTTTGTTAAATATGTTTGTGAAACGTTTCCACCAAAATTGATAAAGCTCCAATTTATAGATGCTAAAAATGATCTGTACTCATGTGGTGCAAGAATGAAATGCAAAGAATGATGGGATATGAAGTCAGTTTACAAAGTAACACATTGCTGTTTTGTTGCTTAATTCAGTGACTTCTAACTTGTGAAAGATTTTTTAAAATGTACTGTTTAAATTATATTTAATGCAGCCGTAATACTTAAAGGGGAGGATTTTCTTATCCTGATTATAGGAATGATGATGATGATGATGATGATGAAATACGCTTATGATGCAGTTAAGTCCAGTCAGCAGTACCAAAATACCCATAATCACAGTAAATAACACAGATATTACAGCTTTGACGTAACAGGTATGGTAGCCTGTGCACTGACTGAACATTTTTTCCTCCAAATGGTAAACACAATCAAAGTACTTGTACGAGACTCTTCAGCTTTAGATGCTCTTTTTGAAGTACGATGTTAACATTTACTTCAGACAAAAAGCTCAAGCATAAACATCAAAGTGCGGCACACTCATATGGACGTAGCTATGCTGAATAGTGATGGCGATCCCAGACTGATCCTGGTGGAGCCATTTATCTGTAGTCTGGTCCTCTGTTCTGCTTGGCTGGGAGGTCTGGAATTTAAATGAGCCCCCCTAACTAGTGTTTCCTACTTGCAGCTGCATCTACAAACACACACACATACACACAAATCAGAATCACAACAGGTAGGTAATACCCAGAACAACATAGCTAACATAGCTATGTTGTGTGAAACTTTTCATATCACAGAAAGCAGTCTGCGAGCACAATATGTTGTATTCCCAGGATTGGGATAAAACACATATCCTGTCAATCAGGAATTTCTGCAGGAGTGGAGAAAGCTAGCATTTAAGCCTCGTGGTAAAGTGGGGAATTCAGAGGAAGCACTCGAATGTGAAAAAAACCTCTGCTGTATCAGTGCTTTTAAATATATAGTTCATTGCTTTCTTACATGTAATGTCGACTGACATTATCCCAAACGTCTCTCGCTCTATCCGCTACACAAACGACACACGTAGACACACACACACACACACAGCTGTACAAGGCATATGTTTTGTCTATCTCGAAGGTAATGGAAATCCTTTTACCCCACTTTGTGTGCAGGAAGCACACACACACACACAGATTTATCATGCGATCATCTCTTTGTTGTGACTAGTACCAGTCCACGCAGACAAACAGACCTGATTGACTGAGAGCCTGTTAACGAGCTGTCAGTCAAACAGCAGGCTAATGCAGAACAGACCTGGACTGTCAGTCCTGCGGAGGGACGATGGAGACAACTGGGGTTTCTATGGCGATGATGCTGACGACGTATCAAAGTTAGCAGGTTTTCATGGACCTCGTCTGCAGCAGACATATCATTAGTGTTTTTGTCACTCTTTACGTGATCCCTGTCCAGATTTAGCTAGTAAATCTGCATCAGTACAGACTGATAAATTGCTAATGTGTTGGACTACACGTGCAAAAAAAGACAAATTCCATCTCTATAATCATTCTTTCTATTCCTGTCTTTTAGGCGCAGTGTGAAGTGTGGCTGCACGGTCTACCGCCTGCGACTTCCTACTTGCTCTCTGTCCAGACGGTGGCCTACTGGGGTCAGAAGAGACTGAAGAGTCCTAGAGCGCAGCTTGTCTTCACTACCATCCCTCATGCAGGTAATGAAAGCAAACAGCTGTCCTGGGGGGCCAGGTGATTTGACTTTACAGTTAAAATGCCAAGTATATTTCTTCAATGCAAAAAGAGTAAAATTGCACAGCGGGGTGGGGTTATGTGCAAGCGCCATCCTGGAGCCTCCAACTGTCAGCAAGAAAGCATATTTCCCAAAACGTCTGAAGCATTCATTGAATTTCAGTCAAGTATAAATGTGCTTTTTTTGTGGTGGGACTTGAGTGTGTGAGAGTGCATGGCAGCGCCACTGCTTCTCACAGCTGTAGTTCATTTTCAGTAATTATTTCTAGGTGTAAATGTTTGTGCATTTGCATTACATGGTTTACCATAAATCCAAGCCATCTCTATCAACAGTTTGGATGATTACCATCGAGCCTTCAGTGGATTTTGGAGAGTTTTTGTCATGTGGAAATAAACATTCCAAATATAAGAGGTGCTAAATAAATGCAGCCTTCCTGGCCAAGTTTAAACTTTAGTGTTGTTGCGATTCAGCAAGAAAGCCAGCAATTATTAGTTACTTATTTTGAATATGTCATTGCTAGCTTGTCATGAAATTAGCAAATACTGCTTATGCAGCACAGTCTACAGAAGCTGTTTGTTAGCAGAGCCATACGTTATTGAGTTAATGATTTTCCTGTAAGTTCAGGGCTGCTTCGTTTGCTGACTCTCGACATATTCTGTCTACATACAGCTGCGCTGTTGAAACACAGAGTACAGTGGAAAGTTGGTGATGTTAATGGTCTTCCAGGCAACAGAGGTATTTATAGGTGACCTATCGGGTCAGCTCAGCAGAGGATTATAGCCAGCTGCAGCTCTATTACCAAACCACATACAACTTTATATGGAACATGCTGCCATTCATAATTTGGGAGTATTAATATTTTTACATAGTCTCTGCGTATTAGCTGTTTGCTCATCGCTAATGAGGGTCAGTTAGGCCAGATAAAGCCAAGGAGTGTTTCCGCTAGCTACCAGCTGCAGTCTCATTACCAGTTTATGATATTTCTGCCACAGTATAGGTTCCATGTGCTGTGTAACAGGTCTGTATACACAAAACGTGCACATGGTCAATATGTAATCCACAGAGACACACAAAAGTAAAGTTTTACGCTGAGTTCTTTTCCTCCGTCTCTTTCTCCGTCCTCTCAACCAGACTCGACCAAAGGCGACGATTTCTCCAATGAGCTCCCCTCTTCTTCCTCTTCCTCTTCATCCTCCCTTCCCTCTTCTCTTTCGATCTCTTCTTTCTCGCCTTCTTCCTCTGACCTCCCGGTTTCCTCCTCTCTCCCTCACCCCGAAACCCCTCTGAGCCCCGTTGCCCTTGGAAACCTGCGGCTGGAGGTCGCCGCCCCTCATTACCATAACAACCAGCTCCAGGTGAAGGTGTTCTGGAAGTGGCCTCAGCATGGTGAGTGGGTCTAGAAACACTAAACAACTGAACAAACTCCTGGTAAGAATATTAAAAACATTCAACTTGAATAAGTCAGTCGGCTCGAAGCTTTATTATGTGATAGATAATCCCACAGGTCCACTATAGTAACTCGAATTAGCGTTAGCCGAGCCTTCCCGCCCCTGACTTTTAAGGCTTAATCAATTTCAAATGCATGATTTTGGTTTTGCACTCGATTCCACTCACTGAAATGTTGAAGTCACAGATGAAACAGCAGTTAGTTATTCAAATCAAGCTGATAACAAGTTTAAAAAGTTGACAAAAGAAGCATTGACTTTCCTATATCATTCATTTTTACACAAAAAGTAAACGTATCTCTTTGGTCTTTTCGCTAACAGTGAGACAGAGACACGCTGGCCCGTACATTTTGAGGTGGCGACCGCATACCTGCAGCACTAATGTGACAAGCATGGAGAGAACAACTACGGTGCAGGTATACGCACAGGGGTGGGGGCTGATCTGTGCGTTTGTAACACTGTAAAGATGTGTTGTTATTCTGTAACTGCAACTATGTGTGTGTGCACGGATTAGACATCACGTTTCATCACCATAACACAAATAAGTACATTTCTATGGTGCAGTACAGTTCAGTCAGTGTGTGTAGTTTCTGTCTCTAAGAAATACTCGATACACTTTTTATATTACAAGCTGCTTATGAGACACGTGTGGAGACAAGAATAGGGCTAAAATGTGTGTCAGTTTAAACTTTAACTATAAACATTTCCTTTTTTATCCTTAACTTGGCTTAATTTCTCCTCTCTCCAGGGCACTCATCACACCATCACAGGTTTGCTGTTTGCCTGTAAGTACGGGGTTGCTGTGGCGCTGAAAGCTGACCCACGGTCAGAGGCTGTTGCCTGGCTTACAACCCCGACTTGCTCCTCTGTCAGGGTCAGAGGAGGCAAAAGTTTGCTGTGCAACACTGAGAGTAGGGGTAACTATTTACAGATGTATTCGTGGTGTTCACTAATCCTTTTTTTAAATACCTTTTTGATGATCAGTTTGAATACAAGCACTGAAAAACCACAACATTCAAGTAGTTTTGCTAAACAGCCTTTTTTGCAGTTAAGTAGTTGAATCAAACTCCTTAATTGAACCTGGTTTTAAATCATTCAGATAATGTTTTGGCTTTCCTTTGCATCAGAGCGCCTCCTGTCAGGCAGAAAGGTAGTACTGCGTCCAGAACGACTGACCGCAGACTTCCAACAGGTCAACGGTACTCTGCTCGCCACCTTTCGTTGGAGGTTGTCCCAGCACGCGCTTCACCCTACAGCTGTCGAGGGTTTCCAGTTTACCTGGATGCTTCAGTCAGAGGTTGCGGGGAAAGCCGATGGACTGGAAGACACGCTCATCTCCCAGACACAGACTATCGCACCGGTGAGACAAAGCGAAAGCGTAGATAGTCACAGCTAAAATGACTAGAGACGGTGTGTTTGTGTGTTTGTGTGAGTCAAAAAGGAGTTTCACGTCCTGTTTCTTTTTTGCCTTTGTCTTTTAAGCATTTTTAAGAATTAACCTTCAGGGAATCAAAGATGAAATGAACAAAAAAATTATCACTCAATAAAAAATATAATAAACATTACCAGACTTCAGAGCTTACTATTAAAAACCCATCAATGACACACACCGCTGATTGTAGTTTACTATTTTTTTAGTTGTGCTGCTAGAACATCACACACATGCCTGAAAGTAGTCCCCAACAAATGTTTAATTTACCTCTGTTGAAATATCCTGTGCTTAAACCTACAGTACTTACCAACATTTATATACCAACCTTTATATATATATATA